ACGGCCTCACGATAAACAGTGTTTCATTTTGCATCCTACAATATCAGTATTTGAGTGGTACTCCTCAGCAGCATTTAATCTTGCATTGCATTGCATTACATATTTGCATATTTACGTACACAATTGGAAATAAATCTACAGTGCCTCAAAAACAACGCTATACAAGTAGATTTAACCCATAAATAAATATACTTTCAACAGTAAAATTATGAAAGACATGGCATTACTCAATTCGTACATTTCCATACAATGGATACTTTGAGTACCACTTTAACGAATATTCGGTGATTTAGCCGAATATTCGGCCGAATACGAATATTCGGTAAACCTGCCGAATATGCCGAATACCGAATATAAAACGAATATTCGGCCCACCTCTATGTTTACAGAGTGTATATCACTTTTTTTACTAAAACTATCTTTATTTTTGTGAACATACATCAAACTTTCATAGATATACTGACAGACCAATGTTAATATATTTATATCTTTAAATTTTTCTCTAAGAGACTCTCTCGGTTTAAGATTGTAAATAACTCTAATGGCCCTATAATGGATTTAAGCAAAGTAACACCTGATTATATTATTAATTATGGATCAATGAGGGCTAATAATCTTCCTCCGACCAGATGTCGCTAGTTACATCATTGAAAAATTGCGTTCTAATTTTTTGTTTCTAGTGAATGTATGACATTATACTAAACAATGCATCAGCTCTTTTAATGTATTACATTTCAAAATATCTTTTTAAAAACTTTTACTTTTAGGAATATCTGTAGTTTTGTTTATCTTTTTCTATTGTATTCAATATAAAATGACTAAAATTTCAGAAAGAAACATTCAGACGCATGTAATAATTTTACTTCTCCAACATGAAATTTCATAAATATTTTACATTATTATATATTTCACGTTACTCATTATGTGGTAGAGCCACGCTTCAGCTATATTCTGGTTGTAGCACGAATGGGTCGGCTCGACCGGGGAAGCACCACGCTCTCACAGAATACTAGCGTAAAGTAGTAGCTTAACACGTTGAACGCCATGGGGGTCACCGGTGACCTCATCTGGTTTACTTTATTGCGCCATGGGGGTCACCGGTGACCTCAAGCGAGAGGCATATTCGAAATGTATTTTTGGGCCGCCGGTCACGCGTGTCGTACATTTCGTGTATGCGAGTGACCGCTTTGGCGCTATAGAGTAATCCTTTTCAAGGGGACGTGGCTACTTAGAAAATTTTAGGAAATATGTACAATATCCTTAAGATAAAATAAAAAAGCGACTAATTTCATGATACATGACTTTTAATCACATTAAATCTTAAAGCTATTACAATGCACATTATTAAAAATATAAAACAAACAATATAAACTTCAAATTAAAAAAAAATGTCTTCTTACACAGGAAAAAATCCAGGAAATGCTACAAAAATTACCATTGAAATAAAAATGCAATCAGAAAAAATTAAATCAATAATTGACTAGAAAGAACTAAACATAACGATGGATCTTATTAAAACAGGATAAACAGATATGTGGGTTTCCATCACATTGAGCGCAAAAAGTATTAACCTTTTTTAGCTTTATTTTTCGCCAATTTTCGTCCAAATTGCTTTACCATATCTTTGTAACAGTGTACACAAAATCGTCTAGTATTTCTCACTGTCCCAGTTTTTGTTAGCAACTCGTGCTTCAAACGTTTGGGTCTTGATACCGTTACTCCTGACTCAGTCTGCTGAGAATCTGACGAGCTTGTTAGATAGTCTACTAGAGATTTCCGAAACTCTACGATTGACATTTTTGTGTTCCTAGTTTCGGTAAACATAATCCATGCATTTACTACGGCAGTATTCAACAAAATCTCAATACCAAGTTTCCGGTACCACTTAATAGTTTTACGTAAGGGAGAAGAATACGACGACATTTGGTCGCTCATTTCGACAGATCCTTTTGACTTATTATAATCTAAAATCACTTTCGGTTTAGTAATCTGTTTGCCCTTTTTGGCGATTGTTGACATTTTATCAGAATGTTTAGTAGAAAGCGTCATCACGTCCCACTTATCTTTCCATTTTAAAATTGTTATACCATCCTCGTTTTCCATGGCCATGAACTCTCCCTTTCGAAGTTTGGCTTCTACTACATCCTTAGGTAAACCTCTTCGGTTTTTCCTAATAGTCCCAATCAAGTGCGTTTGATGTTCCAGTAAATTGTAAGCCAACTCTAAGCTGGTGTACCAATTATCAGTTGCCAAAGTGTGGCCTTTGTTTAATATTTGGCTACAAAGAGACATTACCACTGATGTAGGCGTAGTATTTACGGTATCGATATTTTTACCGCCATACAACGAAAATTTGCAGGTGTACCCGGGAATAGTACATAGTTTGAATAGCTTTAAACCATATTTATGGCGTTTACTTTTATTGTATTGTTTAAATACAATCCGCCCTCTGAATGGAACCTGACTTTCGTCGACACAGTTGTCTTCTTTCGGTGAATAATACTTTTGATACGTATTATTGACCTTTTGTATAATCGGTCTTATCTTAGAGATTCGATCAGATTTATTTGCGGTTTCATTATCACTAAAATGTAGGTACTGTAGGATTATTTCGAATCTATTGCGGCTCATGACGGTACGTGGAAATGTCTGTCCTAAGATTTTATCTTTGCTCCAGTAATAGCTTAACTTTGGGAGTCTCACAAGACCCATGTATAGGATAAGTCCAAAGAAATATTTAATTTCATGTCTGTCTGTTGGCTTCCAAGCATGAGATCTTGATGAAGGTTTTACATTTCTCGATTCGCAGGATTGTAAGGCGAATAAGTTGGTCTGCTCTACAATCATATCGAAAATTTCATCAGACACTAAAAGACTATAAAAAGCTCCCGGGTCTGCTTCTTTTAATATAGTAAAAAATTCTTTGTTCATACCTGAAGTTTCGGTAAATAGTATAATAGATGGTTGTTGACGCCTAGGGCGTGACCATTTCTTTGACACACGATCTGAGACGGTAATATTGGCTGTCACATAATTTCGAACGGAATCAGACTCACTCTCACTGTCGCTTTGGATGATTAAACGTGTTCGTTTTTTCGGAATATGCAACTGTTCTTCGTTTGATTCCGACAACTCTAGATCTGATTGATTATCTTGTTCATTCTGCTGTATAATGCTAGTCTCGAGTAATGTTAATGCCCGCAAATCTTCCTGTGTAAAATCAAAATCTTCCATGTCCACCTGTATTTCTTCAAAATTTTTACTGCTAAATATTTCCATTTTTAATTATTTATTGCAATGTTCATAATATTCAAGTTCACTGCACACAATATCACACTAATTAAGTACTTGACGCAAAGTATTACAGCAACATAGAACACTCACGTTCTCTCTTCACGGGCGCTAGCGCAGTACTGAGCGGGTGGGTGGCCGACGCGGTGACCGGCGTGGCGCCTTCGTAACGGAAACTATTTTTATTACTTTATAGCGCCATGGGGGGGCACCGGTGACCTCAAGGGTTTTTTTTTGTTATATTTACGGAACCCTATGGCAGATTCTTATGAAAAACAGTATACATACATATCTTGATTAAATACATAAATTACAAGTTTTTTTTTTTTACAAAAAACTTTTTTCTATAATGGCGTTTAACGTGTTAATGCTGCTGTGTTTCGTATGGTGAGTGTAGAGAACCGGTGATCCTTTTTACTGGAATTGATGCATCCCATCTTATTCCTCAGGGGTGACAACACATTTGCATTTTGATTCGAAACCGAGGATAGGATGTAAATGTCTACGAGTCATAGCAACTTAACATCAGGTAGACTATGCGCCCGTTTATCACCTTTATCTTATAAAAAAATATATCACCAATTTGGTCGATACCTTTCCATCTAGGGTAGCCCTTGCTGACTGCCATTCACTTCAGCAACATAAATTTGCTTCATCACTCTTTCTTCATTCATTCTCTCTACATAACTATTGAAGCATTTCTTTCTTAATTCTGGTCACAACATCTCACAAGTCACACTTATTTTATCATTGAATTTCTCACCCTATCATTTAGAGCACCTTACATACTTGTTAATGACCACATTTCTACAGGATTTTTTAACACGTAAATTTTTTACGTATTTATTATCTCGTTTCGGTGCCTTCATCATCATCATAATCTACAGCCGTTCACAAACCTACTGCTAAACATACGCCCCCACCTGCATCCATCAACTTCCTGCATGTCCTACCAGGTCGTCATTCCATCTAGTCCTAGTCGCCCTACACTTCGCCTACCGGTACGAGGCTGCCACTCGAGAACCCTTTTTTCCCCAACGGTTAACGGTTGTCGGTTCTTCGAGGTATATGGCCGGCCCATTGCCACTTCAGCTTACTAATCCGTTGGGCTATGTCGGTCACTCTGGTTCTTCTGCGTAAATCCTCATTTCTAAGTTTACCACACAGAGAAACCCCGAGCACAAACCTCTCCATAGCTGCTCAGCGAGCTATGGAATATTAAGACCTTTCTATTGGGAGTTACTACTGAGGCCATACAGCATAGTGCTTAGTTTCTCCAGCGATTATGCCATAAGGACTATATCGTCGACAAATCGAAGGTGAGTGATGTACTCGCCTTAGATGTTAATACCGTATCCTTTCTAGTCCAGTAGCTTGAAAACGTCTTCCAATGCAGCGGTAAAGAGTTTCGAGGATATTATGTCATCCTGTCATACATAACTCTGCAGTTGGATAGGTTTCGTACTCTGGTTCTGTACTCGGATAGCCATTCAGCAATTCAACACTTCGATATACCGACAGTCAACCTGGTAGTAGTAAACTACCTATGCCCAGCGGTGGGCACATAAGCTGTAACTTATTTACTTACTTAACTTCCCGATAAGATACACTTGAAATTTTGAACGTAGCTCAGAATGGAATGACTATAAAAAAAGAAGTTTTTTGAAAATCAAGCTATTAGGAGTGGTTGTGTTATGGTATGTGGTCACCTCTTTGGCGGAGTGTCGAATCTTGCACTGCGCGCAGTAGCGCGCCGCGTAGCACGGCCGCTCCGTCAGCACGCGCTTATGGCGCCGCCCGCAGTTCGTGCACCTGAAGTTTACACATTCACACTTTACCCACCATAGAATACTATAATACACACTAATAACATAATAGAACGGGGGAGTAGGCGGAGCACGTATAAATGTCAACACAATCAATCGTTTCCAATTTTCGTGTCAAGCGTCACTGCATGCAAATTATTTACAAAATGCCAAATTGTGCAATAATTACGTGTCGAAAGAACAGCGGGAAATGCAATTTAATTAAAGGGGACATACCCTACAACCAGTAAGTAGAAACTATTTATATTTTGTGAATATTGGAAACAAAAATAAAGAAATGTTTGTGGCAAAAACATTAATCAAAAGTCTATAATGTGTTTGTAGTAGTGATAACTGATAATACGACGTAAATGATTGTACGTGTGCTTCTGGCGATGCCAATCCTCCTACAAAATAAGATTGACTGCCGTTCTATTGTGTCTAAACTATTAAATAAACAAACTTAAAACAAACGTGGAGGCAGTTTACATAAATAGATTGCACAAGGAGAAACATCCAGATCCGGAACAGTTATTTGCAGGCTATATAAATACTTGTTCAGTGAGGGCCTCGAACCCGTGATCCTTAGTGCTGCAACTTATTCTAAGCCACTACACCATAGAGCCATCTAAAATTTTATAGTAATTATTCATTTGAGTGACTGAATTTCATTTTATTTGAACCTGTTTGACGTAAAACAGTGGATTTTATTTCCGACAGTGGGAGGTTGTTTGTCTAAAAATGTTACTAAAACATTTAATTGTTTTTTGATCTCCCCTCATTTACGGCCCTCAGTTCGAATCGTTAACAATACCATTACAGTATATCAAAAGTCCAATGCTGCACGTTTTACACACAAGTTACAGCCTATATACGTCCCACAGCTGGGCACAGGCCTCCTCTCATTTCTGAGAGGGTTTTAGGGCAAGGAAGTGTCCGCCGCGCTGCCCCAATGCGTGTTGGCGAACTTCACATGTCTTCGAAATATTTTTTCTTCTTATTCCACAGACATGCAGGTTTCCTCACGATGTTTTCCTTCAACGCCGAGCACGTGGCAAATTAGCACTTAAAATTGCCATTAACAATTTCATTGGTGCCGGCGGGGATCGAACCCGCGCTACTCGCGTTCTGTTATATTTACAGCGAGCGTTAACCATCTAAGCTACCACGGCTCTTGTACTGCTTGTACTGCTGCACATAGGCCTCACATTTTTTGCCATAGTTGCTAGGCTTGGCAAGCGGGTTGGTAACTGCAGTGTTTTATTTTTATTTAGCGCTTATTATGAAGGTAATCGTCGCGTTCAGCATCCCTCTGTCGCCTCTAACGAAACCCACAGAATGATATGGGATAGTGGATATTCTTACACCGCCACTATACGGTTACGAGTTCGAATCCCTGGTCAGGCCAAAATTAATCATTGGTATTTTCTGTCAAGAAATTCTCAATAGCACAGTCAGAAAGTTGGCCGTGTTTCACCCCGGTAGGTAGGTAGGTAGGTTGGTACCACTCTCTTAATCACAGAAATAGTAATAATAAGACAATAGAAATGAATTAGCGCTCTATTACTTCCAAAACCGATGTCGCCACATTTTACGGTTTTATGGTTCTAAGGCGTTTCTTCTAAATATTACTATACTCTTTGGCGCGGTCTGCAAGGTGACATGTACTCCGAACGGATCCCATCGGGTTTTTGGTCGTTATTACGATTTCTGTGCTCTTAATATATTTCTGCCACTAAACAGCAATGGATGCTCTGCTGTGTTTCAGTCTGAAGAGTATAGAGTATAATTACAGACCGTGATGCATTTTGTAGCCTTGTTGACAGCAAGTGTCAGGAAGTGTCACTACAATGGATTGTGTAGTAATCATCAAGAAAACTGTAAGTTCGATGATCACTTCAGTATAATAAAAAAGAACCCAGAAGCTCCATTACGGACACTAAGCTTATTTACACTTAGATAATCTGCCATACTCAAATGTTACGAACCTGATAGTGTTCGCTGCGAACTCCATTTTGTCTTGCAGCTGAGCGAGGAGTTGACTGAGCTCGCTCCAAGCGGCTTCCACGTGTCGGGACTCTAATGCTCGACGCTCGTACGCCTCACGTCGCTCCTATAAAAAAAGAAGCAATATGTAAGAAATAAATATTAATAGATTGTGACATTTTGCAAACAAATACAGCCAGTACAATAAAAATATCATTTTAAAATCAAATAAGGAATGTACTTTAACAACCACTCCTTTTGTATATATTCTGGGTAAATTCAGTAGCATTAAACCATAAATTGTTAATACTAAGCATACAGATATTGTTTTATCGATTGTGTTTGTCATTTGTTCTACATAAGTCAACAGTACAATCATGAGAATTAAAAAAGATTCAAGTTAAAGAAAAATAAGAAACTTCTTTTATTTTGTACATGGATACATATTTGATTTTGCTAAGCTATTCTATCTATTAAACACTTTAACGGTGATATTGGCGAATGCCTCACAACCACCATTAAGAATTTAAAGAAGCACAATACTGCGAACACTAAGAAATACACACTAAGATTGGTAACATGATACATGGTTCATCTTAAAATGAGATATCATCAGGTTAATATACTCGGTGATGGTTATAGCTGAAAGTTACCGTAATCAACTTTAGATGAAGATGGCTATGGAAACTGAGCACACCAATAGCATTGCTGCTAGGTGGCATATGTAGGCAAGATGGTACCTACTCTTGGGCTCTTATAGAGAAAAAGTTTCCTAGGAAAAATATCTCTAAATATTTCTTTTAAAATAATATTTTATTGGCAGACAGTTTTTTTTAAATAAGGTGACAAACGAGCACAGTCAACCTGATGGTAAGCGGCCCATAGACAGCTATATTTCTACTCAATTAAGAATCGAAATGCAGATGCGTTGTTAACCCTGAGGACTAAGATGGAATGCCATGTTTCCAGCAAAAAGGGTCTCTGGTTCTGTACACTCATCATACGAAACACGGCAGCATTAAGCTGCTATTTTACGTTGGTATTCTGTGAGAGTGTAGTCCTACCCCGATCGAGCCGACCCATTCATGCAGCTATAACATAGCTGCAGCGTGCCTTTACCACGTACAAAACGTACGTGTTATGTACGCATATTAATGATAAATTAATAAAGTATATTACTTTACAAAATTTAAAGAAAGAGAAAGAGAGACTAACACTTTCCAAACTATAATGTAGATTATGTGTAGAGTAGCAGCGAGTTCATGTATACACGGAGAGTGTTCGTGTAAAGATTGCTTATATAAGGGCTGCCCAAGGGTGTACATATATGTGGGGTGGTCGGGTGACCAACTACTTATAGTACTGTTGCACAATGTATAGTCCTATATTAGGGACTTATGACAGTAATGTCTATGATACTAAAGCATTATTATAGAAGATCTCTACGATGCATAAGCATTACAAAAGTAGAGTTGTGGGTTGAAGTCTCATGTATTAAAGACTTTTATAGTATGGTCTATGATACAAATGGATTATTATAGGTCTTTATGATGCATAAGCATCATGATAGTAGAGTTGAGTACTGAAGTCCCATATATTAGACATATATATATATATATATATATATATATATATATATATATATATATATATATATATAATAGTAAGGTCTATGATACAAAAGCATTATTATAGTAGGTCTCTATGATGCATAAGCTTTACAATAGTAGAGTTGTGGGTTAAAGTCCTATAACTAGTCTGGCCATAAATACTGTTACATTAAACATTTCTTTTTTTCAACTTTTTAATTATTTTGAATTTGGAACGCGTCCATTATTTTTAAAGTTCTTTCGATTTCGCTCCATTTCACATATTTTTTCGTGTTTCATTATCAAATTACAATATGGAATGGGGTGTTAAAGAAAATAGGATTGCGGTGATCGTCTTGCACAAAGTGGGTATGGAACCGTCGGTTATATTCCAGACACTTCAAAAGCTGGGTATCAGCCGTATGTTCGTATATCGTACTATTAACAGATACAAAAACACTTCCTCTATCGAAGACCACAAAAGATCGGTGCGGCCGCGTGCTGTTAGAACTACAAAGGCTGTTAATGCTGTTAAAGCCAGATTCGTCAAAATCCCATTAGGAAACAAAAAATCTTATCGCGAGAAATGAAGATTCCAGCTAGGACTCCGTCGCGTGTTATAAAACAAGACCTGAAGCTCGGTACTTATCGTCTATATACAGGACATGCCCTAAATCAATCTTTACAATTAAAGAGAGTGGAACGATCAAAACGCCTTCTGTCGCAATACGCAGGTTAAGGCAAATTCAATCAAATTTTCACGATTGAAGAGCACTACAATAAGTAAAATGATAAAATGTACGCTCATAGTTCTAAAGAAGCTGCTCAAGTGGTCGGAAAGGTACAACGTCATCATCCTGCGTCAGTGATGGTTTGGTGGGACGTGTCTTATCAAGGCGTCACAAAGCTACATTTTTGTGAAAAGACGTAAAAACTTCAGCTAAAGTGTATCAAGAGACAGTCTTGGATCGTGTTGTGAAATCTCTCAGCAATACACTTCTTAAAAGTACAGTGGACTTTCCAGCAGGTTTCTGCACCCGGTCACAAGGCACCAACTACCCAATCCTGGCTTGAAACCAACGTTCCGGACTTTATAAGAGCTGAAGACTGGCCTTCATCCAGCCCAGACCTCAACCCTTTATACTACAAATTATGGTCAGTTTTAGAGGACATGGCTTGCTCTAAACGACACGGCGACATTGAGAGTATAAGGTTTAGTAATATTATATTACTTCATTAAAAAAAAAATCCTTTTCATTTGTAACAGAACCTTTGGCCGGACTAGATATATATTAAAGACTTTTAATAGTAAGGTCTATCATCATAATAAAAAGCAATACAATTGTTCGATATAAATAATTATTCGTTAACCTTTGAGATTTCAGTAGACTTCTAGATCAAAATAAGTCAAAATTGGTTGTGGTAGTTCTTTAACGAACCAGTTAAATAAATACTTTGTCAAACTAATTTCTAGTTGTATTCAGAAACAACTAGTCCCAAGTGTTTTGTGACATTAAACGTAAAATTGTTAATAACATAATTACCATTAAAGAGCAAATAAAATATTTATATTATATCATATATACAAACATTGCTTGACAAATATTTGAATATCATTCAAATAAGACACAAATCCTTTTGAGTAGAGATATTAGGTATACAAGTTAACTCAAGACCTATTTAAAGAGTTTGTTTAAGATAACAACTATTATTACAAAGTATTATTGATAGCATGCCAATACAAAATCCATAAAGATAAGTGAGGGAGGTATCACATTGAAATATTATTGATAATGATACATCAATTTCAGCTTATCTAATTAGATATAACAACTTGATTATTTTAAAATTCCTATTAAGTAGTTTAGGGACCAAGCCCTCATCCTAAATTTCATAGTATGGAACCCGGATTTGACCCTTGCCGGCAGCAATGAAATTGTGATATGCAATTATAAATGCTTATTTACCAGGTTCGGTGAAGGAAAAAAGATAACGCATGTCTGAGAAATGGAATTCGAAGACATGTGAAGTCCCAACCAACATTTCTTTGCCATAAAGCCCCCTTAGACATGAGAGGTCCAGCAGTGGGACATATTTATTTTATAGGAGAGGGGGAAAGAGATACGGTTGATGTTAAGCGACTGGGGAATTGCAGTGGTGCCTGCCTTTTAGAAAGGAGTAAGCTTTTTCTTGAAGGTCCCTAAGTTAGGCAAGATTAAACGATTGGAAGTCGTACGCGGAATAAAACTCCCAGTGAAACGTAGAGGTAAATATATACTGAATGATATTTTTACCGTCCGGAAATCAAATGTCACACCACCACACTTTACGAACGGCTATAAAACAATAAATTTAGCAGGCATTTTTGACCTTGTCACTTCGCAGGGTCACAGGCTCAAAGGCAAAGCCACCCGCGCTCTCAACTCTTCAGTGACTTTTTATACGCTGTGGAGTGAGGTCGCGTCGCCGTCGTACTAAGTATTAAAGGTAATTTACCTACTTACTATTTTCTGTTTCACATTTTTGTGCTATTTACAAATACGCAACACGCGACACCATTATAAATGAAAGAGTGGCAATGAGAAATCCTCCTTATTTTAAATCTTTTTCTTTTATCGACCAAGTATTTTACTAATCACCAGTATATGCTGATCTTGCATTAGTAGGCATTAAGCAGTACTGGGAGGTCTACATACACTGAACGTTTAAATTCATTGACATTATACATGAAAAAAACCCAACCAACGGATTTACGTGCTTTTCGAGGCACCGCCAACTTACTGACTCCGGGCAGGTCCTGAGAACTTCTTGACGCAATAACTAAATATATTGATTTTTTTGTCCCGATCCGGGATTCAAACCCAGGACCTCATGATCAACTGTTACACTACAACCACTATACTAATGAGGCAGTCAAAACCAAAAATAAATATCAAAAGTGCCTACCTAAATACTTATAAGAGAAAAATATTTTTTTGGTAAAGTAAGGCGTGCATCAGCATCAGCTGATTCTAAAAATGTTGGCTGCAACGATGTGTCGGCCGCTGAACGCGGCTGCCTGGCGCCTACATAACCAAATATGTGAATGCGTCCCGCTCGCTCTTACACCTTTCATTCACTAGTGATTGTAGCCTATTTTTAGTTTTACGCAAACGCCGTAGATTGAATTTTTTTTTATCTATTTTTTGGATATTCGGAATTTTTTTCTAATCTAGTTATATTTTGTTATATTTTACAAATACTTTCAAGGATAGCTTCTATTCCACTTACACAAAACCCCATATTATTTTCCAGACGATAAAAATAGTCACCCAGTATAGTATCCCCCGAAGTTCTGACAGACACCGAGGTGGTTTTTGTATGCCGCTCATGTCAACCGGCCTCTGAAGGTTGGAGTAAAAAAACGCGCGTATGTCAAGCGCCTTCTGGAGGTCGATCTGCGCCGACGTATTTCAGTGTGTTAAATTGGCCCTTAAGACCATATTTATACTGCTCACTTTCAAACAATATGCAGGAGAAATGACAAGGATGGTATAAAGTCGCACCTCAAACGTCAAAACAATGGAGTCCATTGTAAACTGCCAGCTCATGAGGTACCTTGAGGATCACCAACTGATTAGTGACCGCCAATACGGTTTTCGCCGTGGACGGTCAGCTGGTGATCTTCTGGTCTACCTAATAGGGGTAGAGTCCAAGGGGGAGGCATTGGCCGTTAGTTTGGACATTGCGAAGGCCTTCGATCGGGTTTGGCACAAAGCGCTTCTTTCGAAGCTCCTTTCCTATGGGCTTCCTGAGAAATTGTGCGATTGGATCACCAGCTTTCTTGCAGATCGGAGCATCAAGGTTGTTGTAGACGGTGCAAGCTCCGATTGCAAGCCTAGTGTTCCACAAGGCTGCGCGCTATCGCCAACGCTGTTTCTTCTGCATATCAATGATATGTTGCAAACCCGTAACATTCATTGCTATGCAGATGACAGCACTGGTGATGCTCTTTACACCGGCCGAGCCAATATTTCTCGGGAAAACGTCTCCGAGTGCCGGGACAAACTTGTGTCTGAAGTCGAGTCCTTGCTGAACAGAGTCTCGGATTGGGGGCGACTAAATCTAGTCCAATTTAACCCCCAGAAGACACAAGTTTGCGCGTTAACCGCTAAAAAGAACCCCTTTGTCGTATCTCCTCAGTTTCAAGGCACTCCCCTTGTTGCCTCAGCCAGTATCGGAATCCTCGGCGTTGACATATCGAGTGACGTGCAGTTTTGTGGTCACTTGGAAGAGAAGGCCAAATTGGCCTCTAAAAAGCTTGGCGTGCTCAGCAGAGCGGGACTGTATTTCATGCCGGCACACCGCCTGCAACTTTACAAGGCGCAGGTTCGGCCGCACATGGAATACTGTTCCCATCTCTGGGCTGGGGCTCCCCAGTACCAGCTCCTTCCACTTGACCGCATCCAGCGCAGAGCGGCTCGAATCGTCGACGACCGAGTGCTTTCCGATCGGCTCGATTCACTGGCACTGCGAAGAGATGTTGCATCTCTTTGCATTTTATTTCGCATATACCGTGGAGAGTGCTCTGAGGAATTGTTCGGATTAATCCCCGCCGCCAAATTTCGTGAACGCACTACGCGGCAAACGTCCCGATACCATCCACACCATCTGGATGCTTGGCGGTCCACCACAGTACGTTTCAAAAGGAGTTTTCTTCCGCGTACAACCTCTCTGTGGAATAGTTTACCACCGGCGATTTTTCCGGACCGATACGACCTGGGGACCTTCAAGAAAAGAGCTTACTCCTTTCTAAAGGGCCGGCAACGCACCCGCAATTCCCCTGGTGTTGCGGTTGATCATGGGCGGCGGTAGTCACTTAACATCAGGTGAGCCGCATGCTCGTTTGCCCCCCTCTTCTATAAAAAAAAACCTCAAACGTCTAATATTATGCAACGCCGGCTTTTGGAATTTTTTAACATCGCGTGCATTTGTATATTCGTGAATTTTGTTGTGGTTGTGTTAAAAAAATATGGGGAGGTGTGTGTTATTTTAGTAGATTAATGTTCAATAATATGTATATCTTTAGGTAAATAAAATTAAATATTTATCAGATAAAGATTTGATTTTATAATTATAATATTACATTGCCTTATGTACAATAAAGTAGGAAAAAATAGCTTACACTAATTTCAAAATAGAATTGACAATATATTACAAAATAAAAGTGTCCCGATTCGTATGTAATTTATTGTCTTTGTTCATAACGATTCCAACGACGTAAGTTTTATATGTAGCCCTTATAAAAAACTTTAGAGAAATCGTCAATTTAGTGACACGTGTCGTGAACGCGCAAGTTCTCCTAGAATTGGCGCGTTCACGGCACAGTTGCGCTTAGTCGCGTAAAAGTGCCGTGACGGACGAGGGGTTTTTGTTTATGTGAGGGTTTCCCATTCATAGAGATACACACAGATCGACACAGACCCACTACTACACTACATAAAAGGAGCTACACCAGAACGGTTGGATGACATCTGGTATTTTATGAGCAATTCATGTGTTGCCAAGCCATTTGCCAAATGTGGATAAAGCTAAAAATGGAAAATACTGTGCGATAATTCCATACCGGTTCGCCAATAAGGTCGAAAGCATGTTGCAATATTTTAAAAGCTTCTTCAGCGCCAGGTTGTTGGTTTTTGTCGGGGTGCACCAGGAATGCTTGGCGTCGGTAGTATCGCTTGATCTCATCGTCCGTGCATGTTACACTCACTCCTAGGATACTGGAAGTAAGAAGGAAAATATAATATTTTTTCATATGTGGTATAACCCAGTGGCGAAGCCTCCATAGAAGCCCAGAAACCGGGCTTGCTCTATAAAAACGCTCAATCAGTAATATCAACTAATAAAATAACTTGTAAACTCTTTCAAACTATTTCAAATTTCCTGCGGGCTCCTGACCACGTAGCATATAATATGTAACGTCAACACTTGGCAGTTTGCTTTCGATTCGAAATACTGGACTGTCAAAATTAATTAAAGCAAGGAGATGATTTTGTCCTCTCTCTCGCACGCGTTGGCTTTTTACCGGGCTTTCAAGAATACGATCGCTCCCTTTCTAACCTGTGGCAAAATGTTCTATAATGAAATATAACTACGAAATGTTTATATAGCAATTACTATGAAACCAAAAGCCGTGCTTTGCCCAGAAGTTGTTTAGGAATGCGTTATCGAGTGGGGGTACGGGCGATACATTTGCAAGTTCACTTCACATTTCAATGATTATGTTTGTTTTTGTTGTGTCTGTAAAAAATTATGCTTTTTCAAAGATTTTTAGTGAAAATGGGAGGATAATAGTGTTCCTTGTGATGAATATAAGTATTAAAGTGCTAATCGGCGAGGAAAAGGTATTTACCAACTCAATACTTATATTACCATATGAGTTAAAAATATCATTTTGAACTTCAGCATAAAATATGAGATATCTAGGTATAAGTTTAATTTTATAGCAAATAATTGTTATAATCTTCTTTTTAATTTGAAGCCCAAATTTTAAAGTAATAAATTAAATGAATAGATGTATTGAGGTTTTTAAAGACTATTTACTTTAGTCCTTAAAGCTTTATCTTCTCAGTTCAGTATATAAAATTTGGGTAAGGTTTACAATTCGGTCGCCTGAATTAAGGGGTGGGGAGTGGTGTGGGGGGAGGGGAGGAGTTGTAGAGTCATCTCCTACTTCCCCTTTCTGTCGGACGTGCTTAGTTTTTTTTATAAATTTTTAAAAATCTCATTTTGAGGTTATGTTTCGTAATTTTTATGACAATTTTAACCTGATTTATGGCGAGAGAGAGTTGGGGAACGGAAGCCCCACGCCACTTATGGTGCAGTCTTAGAGCATACATAATGGAGGAGCTGTGTGTTGGTTCTCTTCGTGAGAGATTCTCGGGCAGTGAGGGAAGTCCGGTCGACGGAGACCCGCTTCGCGGGTTTTCCTACTTCTGAGTGGTTTATAAAAAAATTACCACGAAGAGGATGACGGGGTCTATTCACTCGCTTCGCTCGCTCACTCATCCTTCTAACCTAACCTGTCCGAGTCGGGGTGCTCCACGTCCCAGGCTCGCTTTGCTCGCTATTGCACTCGATATAACACCAAAATATTAACTTTTATGACTACTTTAATTTATAAACATAATTTATGGCTGCAACCATTTGTAAGAAAGGATCTTTGCGATATTTAGCAGTATTCCGCCGCCACAAATATAAACTTGGAAAAAACGGCATGACGAAAAGCTGTCAACAAAATGGCACTAACAAAATAGCGATTAATTTTACATATTTTTAAATCGATTCAAATCGAAATTGGATGAATAGATTCACAAAAAATCGAAATCTTAAAGATCGATGTCGCAAAAATCGGTCTTTTTTTTGATTTGCGTAAAGTTTAGATACAATAAAGTACAGATAACATTGAATGATTGAATTAAAAACTGTTATTCTTTACGAGTTGGGGTACATTCAACTAATTGTAAATAATTTTACAAATCTTAATAAAACAGAAAAAGATTCGATCTCGATTCTCTAGGGTGAAATATCGATTCACTAGATCGATTCAGTACTATATATCGATATGACATTGACAGATGAAACATCAAAAACGTAACATAGTTACCAATATTTAAAAAAAATAAAAATTCGTCGCTGCTCCGGCAGAAAAAATCGAGTGGGGGTGCTTCAGATAAACCCCCTTGACTCCCCCACGGTGACAGAATCTTCAAATTCAGGCGACTGAATTGTAAACCCAACCCTAAAATTTTAATAGCGCCATCTACTTAATTCTATAGGTGAAGTCGAACGAAATCGAACAAAAATTTATTGATTCTCACGTAAAGATTAGGCTAGATGGCACAAACACGCTATCGGCTAATTTAATAATTATATTACCTTAAGAGTAAAAAATATCATTTTGTACGGTTTATTAAAATTGAAAATGAATAATTATATAGTCCTTGACCAGATGGAGCGGTATCTGCGCAAGGTGGCTGGTAGAAACTGAATGCGTGTAACCGAAGATCGGGCTGAGTGGCGCGATTGGTAGAAGTCTATGTCCAGCAGAGGACAGTCGCAAGCTGATGATGATGATGAATTATATAGTAACTAGTCATTATTTTATGGTAAAAAAATTTGCAAAGCTTTATCTTCCCATTATACCATACAATTGCATATGTCATACAATCTATGCAGCGGTAGTATGCCTTCAGTGTGCTTTGTTAAACACGTCCTAGACATCACTGAATATGAAACTAAAGAGTGGAGACAGATCAAGATTGGTGTATATTTATAAACTGTTAAAAAGAACAAAACCATATCTTAGACTTGCCCTAGTTTGGAGCCCTAGCCTCGCCACTGGTATAACCGTGTGTGGCAATGCATGAATCTACTACTACATATCATCCTGTGGATGCTGTACAAGGCAGGGAATCTGAGATAAGTGATGGGTAGCAGCATCTTCCTGATTACAAAATAATAAAAAAAATCAGTTGACAACTCCCCCTGCCAAGCGCATTGATAATATGTAATTATATTATGATATAATTAAAATACAAGGCAATGTAAAGGAGGAATGAGGAGAGAGAGAGAGAGAGAGAGAGAAATAATGCAAGGGAGGAATGAGAGAACAAATAAAACAAATGCAAAGGACATTATAAAATTAAAGATAAATGATATGATAAGTTCAGATCAGGTTTGACCTGAGCCGGCGGCAGGCGGCGGCGCTCGCGGTTGCCATGTTCTCTGGCTGACACAAAACACCATGTATCTGAGCCCATTCGACTATCTCGAGGTGTATAAAATTATTAAATAGACAGACAGGCAAAACTTTTAATATTTTTAAAAATATGAGTACTGTACATACTTTCATAATATGTAAGCATAAGCATAAGCATAAACACTCACGCCTGTCATCCAGAGGGGTAGGCAGAGACCACGGACTTCCATTTGACACGATCCTGACATACCTCATTCACTCTTAACAGTGGTAGAGCCACGCGGCAGCTTTGCTGTCGCACGTATGGGCCGGCTCAAACCGGGGTGGTACCACGACCTCACAGAATACCGGCGTGAAGTGGAAGCTCTGCTTCCGCGTTTCGTCTGGTGAGTGCAGGTGGCCGGAGGCCCAAATCCCCCCCCCCCATCAACATGGTAGCGGAATTAAATGATAGACTACCCCAGGAGGGTACCAGCACCCCTGGAGAATCCCTCGCTGAGCATCCACGACCATGTTTCTCCACTTCTGAGCGTGGGTGCTCAGGCTGCCCCGCGTATTCTGGGGGGGGGCAATATTCCGCTCAAGACTAAAACTGCTCGGGGCAAACGGAGCAGCAAGACCAAGGCGACCCCTGCCACGCTGTCCGTGAATTTCTGCAATATCAGGGGACTTCACTCTAACCTAAACGCCGTCCACTACCATTTCGAGACGGCGAGGCCGGCTCTGCTCTTTCTGACCGAGACGCAGGTGTCCTCTCCGGCTGATGTCTCGTATCTCTCCTGCCCGGGGTACAAACTGGAACACTCCTTTGTGCCTCGGGCTGGAGTTTGCGTTTACGTCAGAGAGGACATCTGTTCTCGACGCCTCGGCAGACTTGAAGGTTCGGACCTGTCCATCCTTTGGCTACGCGTAGACAGCGACGACCATCCGCGCGTCTACGGGTGCCTCTATAGGTCCCATAGCGGTAATGCCGAAACAGACCGACTCTTCGACCACGTCCAAATGGCTGCAGATTCGTTGCTACAGCAGATCCCCTCCGCAGAGATCGTGATCCTCGGCGACTTTAACGCCCATCACGCCGAATGGCTCGGTTCACGTTTAACCGATCATGCGGGGAGATCTGTTCATGATTTTGCCTTGGCATATGGTCTGACACAACTGGTTACTTCGCCTACGCGGATTCCAGATGTGGAGGATCATGCACCTTCCCTGTTGGACCTTCTGCTGACCTCTCACCCGGACGGATATCAGATTTCCGTTGACGCCTCTTTAGGCTCCTCGGACCATTGTCTTGTCCGGAGTGTGGTGCCACTCACGCTGAAACCGCGGTTGCATTCTGCAGGCTGCCGCCGTGTTTGGCACTATAGGTCAGCCGATTGGGATGGGATGCGGTCTTTCTTTGCATCCTACCCTTGGGGGCGGGTTTGCTTCTCGCCGGATGATCCCAACGTTGTTGCGGATTCTGTCGCTGATGTGGTACTTCAGGGTATGGAACTTTTTATTCCTTCCTCTGTGGTGCCCATTGGAGGCAAATCTCAGCCATGGTTTGGTCGCTCCTGTAAAATAGCATCATGCTATAAGCAGGAGTGCTACCGAGCCTGGGCTGACGCATCAGCGTCCAGGGATGTAAACACCAGCGCTCTAAAAAAGAAGTATAATTCCGCCTCTAGGTCCTTCAAAAGAGTCATTGCCAAGGCAAAGTCAGAGCACATAGGCAGAATTGGCGAGAGACTAGTTCGTCTTCCTTCTGGAACCCGTGCATTCTGGTCTCTCGCCAAGGCTGTCCAAGGGAATTTCTGTCAGCCATCTCTTCCATCTCTGCACAGGGAGGACGACTCACTGGCCCACACCGCAAAGGAGAAAGCCGATCTTCTAGGCTCTTTCTTTGCGTCTAACTCGACTCTCGATGACGGGGGGAGTACGCCGCCGACCATCCCGCGGTGTGAGTGCTCCATGCCGGAAGTGCAGTTCACTCAGCGCTCGGTTCGCAAAGCACTCCTCTCCCTGGACATCCATAAGTCGAGTGGGCCTGATGGAATCCCCCCAATTGTGCTGAGGACGTGTGCTCCAGAGTTGGCACCGGTTTTAACGCGTCTTTTCCGGTACTCCTACTCCCTAGGCGTAGTCCCAAAATCATGGAAGACGGCTTTCGTCCACCCGATCCCTAAAAAAGGCGACCGCTCAGACCCGTCCAACTACCGGCCTATCGCCATCACCTCCTTGTTCTCCAAAACAATGGAGTCCATTGTAAACTGCCAGCTCATGAGGTACCTTGAGGATCACCAGCTGATTAGTGACCGCCAATACGGTTTTCGCCGTGGTAGGTCAGCTGGTGATCTTCTGGTCTACCTAACTCACAGATGGGCGGAGGCAGTAGAGTCCAAGGGGGAGGCATTGGCCGTTAGTTTGGACATTGCGAAGGCCTTCGATCGGGTTTGGCACAAAGCGCTTCTTTCGAAGCTCCCTTCCTATGGGCTTCCCGAGAAATTGTGCGATTGGATCACCAGTTTTCTTGCAGATCGGAGCATTAAGGTCGTTGTAGACGGTGCAAGCTCCGATTGCAAGCTTATTAATGCTGGTGTTCCACAGGGCTGCGTGCTATCGCCAACGCTGTTTCTTCTGCATATCAATGATATGTTGCAAACCCGTAGCATTCATTGCTATGCAGATGACAGCACTGGTGATGCTCTTTACACCGGCCGAGCCAATATTTCTCGGGAAAACGTCTTTGAGTGCCGGGACAAACTTGTGTCTGAAGTCGAGTCTCTGCTGGACAGAGTCTCGGATTGGGGGCGACTAAATCTAGTCCAGTTTAACCCCCAGAAGACACAAGTTTGCGCGTTAACCGCTAAAAAGAACCCCTTTGTCGTATCCCCTCAGTTTCAAGGCACTCCCCTTGTTGCCTCAGCCAGTATCGGAATCCTCGACGTCGACATATCGAGTGACGTGCAGTTTCGTGGTCACTTGGAAGGGAAGGCCAAATTGGCCTCTAAAAAGCTTGGCGTGCTCAGCAGAGCGGGACAGTATTTCATGCCGGCACACCGCCTGCAACTTTACAAGGCGCAGGTTCGGCCGCTCATGGAATACTGTTCCCATCTCTGGGCTGGGGCTCCCCAGTACCAGCTCCTTCCACTTGACCGCATCCAGCGCAGAGCGGCTCGAATCGTTGACGACCGAGTGCTTTCCGATCGGCTCGATTCACTGGCGCTGCGAAGAGATGTTGCATCTCTTTGCGTATTTTATCGCATCTATCACGGGGAGTGCTCTGAGGAATTGTTCGGATTAATCCCAGCCGCCAAATTTCGTGAACGCACTACACGGCAAACGTCCCGATACCATCCACACCATCTGGATGCTTGGCGGTCCACCACTGTACGTTTCAAAAGGAGTTTTCTTCCGCGTACAACCTCTCTGTGGAATAATTTACCACCGGTGATTTTTCCGGACCGATACGACCTGGGGACCTTCAAGAAAAGAGCTCCTTTCTAAAGGGCCGGCAACGCACCTGCAATTCCCCTGGTGTTGCGGTTGATCATGGGCGGCGGTAGTCACTTAACATCAGGTGAGCCCCATGCTCGTTTGCCCCCCTCTTCTATAAATAAAAAAAAAAAAAAAAAAAAAAAACCTCTTTCGCCTCCTTTACATCCATATATCTACGCATACATGCTCGTCGGTTAAGGGTACTTTTAACGTGGCCCATTTTCAAAATATCGCCAATTTGGTCGATAAACTTTCTTCTAGGGCGTCCCTTCCCGACTCTGCCGTTCACATCTGCCATATAAATTTGTTTTGTCACTCTTTCCTCATTCATTCTTTCTACATGACCAAAATATGTATTTCTACATGATCATAATATGTATTTAGTAAAAAGCTGTTATTTTGACATTACAAACAGTATTCAATTTTATTTATTTATACAAATTACATATAACGTTCTAGACTCTAAATTTTACATAGTGCAGTTTGAGAATAAGCTCGAGATTGTTTCTAAATACGGCCTACGATGGAATGTAGGGTCGAGAGCTAAATTTTGTGGAGTATGAGTTAGTTCTCAAAGTTGAAAATGCATCTGTATTTTGATTCATCTGTATTTCACTGGGGATATAGTTATCTATGCCACAGCATCCACTTACCATCAGGTGGGCTGAGTTCATCTGTCACTCTATTAAGGTTCTGAAAGTTCAGAGAGAGACAGAACTAGATTGAATTCAAACAATTGTCCTAGATCCATTTTGAAAGTGCAACATCAGCTGATTTAAATTCAGGTGATGAGTGGCTCTTGCTATTAGGAAAGGATGTCAGTATTTTCTAAACGGTGGCAAGACATGTGATGGTGCAGTATTTGCTTGGGTCTGGGGTATCCTGGTCTTGAGGAACCAAGTGAGCATTCCCAGTACAGAGAAGGATCGAGAACGGTTTCTGGTTGTATCTCTTGAAACTGTGGGCACTTGCACATTATACAGTTGTTTACCAAGCAAAGGTGGAAAAATACTAGTAAAATAAACAAAGAAACTTGAACCGCACCTGTATGGGTCTTTTCCTTTGCAGGCAAGCAATCGTTTCATAGCCTCCTCACCAGTGGCAGGCAAAGGTATATTCGCATTAAGTTTTGTGGAGTCCGAGTTGCTGTCCACTTCAGATTCTGCAACAACCCACTTCATGTTAGCATACAAGTAAATTATTATAATATTTGACTTTGTTTTGATGTTTGACACTTGGTTTTTCATATATCAGTATCAATCACAAGCCAATCTTTTTTAAAAAATATTAATAGCTTATTTTAGGTTACAAAATCTTTTTGATAATGAAAAAACATGACACAGCAATTGTGAGATATCCAACGGCCACAATTCCTACTGGAGTAACACAATTGGACTGCTTATATTGCTTGATACGAGGGGAGGTCAAAAAGTTCGCAGAACGACAGAGAAAGATAATGAAATGAAACATTAAACTATTTTTCCTTTTCAATGTATTCTCCCTAAACCCTAATACATTTATTTGATCTGTCAAATAACTTACTAATACCGTCTAAAAAAAGATTTGTCTTGGGGGACAAAATAGACAGAAATTGCCGACTTCACTTCATCATCGTAGGCAAATTGTTTCCCATGTAGTTCTCTTTTCATTTTTAAAACATATAATAGTCACTTGGGGCCAAGTCTAGGCTGTAGGGTGGGTGGCGCAGTTGTTCAAAACCACACCGGTGAATGGCCAGCCATCCCAACATGGGTTGTGTGCACTGGCGTATTGTCGTGCAAAAGGAGCACGTCTTTTGTAAGCTTTCCTCGTCTTTTTTCTTTAATAGCTTCTTTTAATTGGTCCAGTTTAAGAGATCTAAAGAAGCGTCGTATCTTCCTTTATGGATAACACCACATTCCTTATAATAAATCAAAAGGATACCTTCTGTATCCCAAAAGATCGTCGCCATGATCTTTCTGGCCGATTGAGACACCTTACACTTCTTATGAAGGGGTGTGCCTTTTTTATGCCACTGCAAGTTCATAATGGTGAACCCAAGTTTCATCGCGTTACAATTCGGGCCATAACTTCCTCCTTTTGCTCTTTACAGTAGTCCAAAAACTCGCGACAACTTTCGACGCGCTCGTGTTTTTGATGCACAGAAAACATTCTCGGAACTCATCTTGCATCAGACTTTAGTCATGTCAAGGTGTTGATGTAGGATGTTTAAAATTGTTTTTGATACTCTAACTAATGCTGCAAGCTGTTTTTCTCTAGCTGGGTATCCTCCAATACAATTTTTCGATTATTTCTAGCGTGGTAGCCTCAATCGACCGTCCAGGTATCAGGTCAGGTCAGTTATCTTAAATGGAGTCCCTCCCTTGTTTGAAAAGGTTGTGTCATTTATAAATCATGGTTTGCCCAGGAACGAAGTCCCCATAAAGAGCTAATATCTCTTGAAAAATGGTTTGAGGTGTCTTTCCTTGTTTGCTGAGAAACTTAATGACGGCGCGATATTCCATTTTCTCCATAGTGGCTAGTTTCTTCCCGATTGACCTGTTTACTTGTTGATAACTCAAAAGCCTCATTAGGCTGAAAGTTGGTATATAGTTAGTTAGTTTACGACGGGCTGTTTTCCGCAATTCCACGTCTAAGCGCGTATTTTGCGTGTGGGCAACAATAATGTGATTATTCGAGCCATGAAATCTCCCCGAAGAAGTTCAACAGTCCTTTGATATTGCAAGCAACTTCAGGGAGGGATCCCGGCGTGCCGAGATGTTTAACCCTGTATGAAGCGACCTCTGGACATGTCAGAAACACGTGAGCCGCCGTTTATTCCTCCCCCATGCATGCCCTGCACAGGGGGCTATCTGTAACACCTATGGTAAACAAATGTTTGTTAAAAGAGCCATGTCCTGTGATAGCACTTGTTACTATCCTGATCTGTGGCTTGTTCAGTCTCATTAGAACCTTGGTTAGACGACTGTTTATTTCAGGCAGGGCCTCTCCAGCTTGTCTACAGTCTACTTAATTTTACCAGAGTTGAGCATGTAAATTATTGAAGTTTATATGCACCAATGAACAAATGTTAGTAATGGGGATTGGTATTATTGGTTCCGGCCCTATAGTATAGCCAGAGACAATCCTCTTCTGGCCAGTTCTTCTGCTGCATCATTGCCTCTGGATGCACTGCATTACTTAATCCATTTCCATAATCTATACCAACAATAAGTCACTCAACTAGCACCTACCTGGATGAGTAAATTCACCCTTGCCAACCCTGCCATTCTGCAAACTTTTTGACCTCCCCTTGTATGTTTTTGGAACTAAGTCTAAGTTTTATATAACACAGGTAGCTTTGTATTTTCACTTTGCACACTAATTTGAGCACTAAAGAATTGAGATAAAAAAATCTGAATAATACAGGGTTATTTTGCAATAGCTGGCTAAATTTGCAGAGAAGGTTCAGAATAAGTAGTATAGTCATATAGTGAAGAAAAATTAATTAAAAAAATTCTCAAACATTGTGTCCTTTTTATCTTTTAAATTCAAATTGCATGGTAGTGCATTATTTTACATTCGTAAGGGTCGATCGGTAAGCAAAAACATTGTTGCACATAAATCACATTCTATTTCAGAGAATTCCAAATAAAAGTAGAAGACTAATTTACTTGGTATTTTCAAAAACTGCAATAATGTTATGGTATCATTATCTATATATTTGAATGTCAAGTTTAAAATGTGGCTACTCTTTGAAAAATAACCCTGTATAATTATATAGTGAAAAACCTTTAAGCAGATATTGTTACTTTTTTTGAACCACTTTAGCTTTCTCCAGAACCCAAAACGAGTATGTCCAAACTTCCGGTCAATGTAGAGGAGATATTTGTTGTCACTGATCTTGGAGAGCCACTCCTTACTGCTACGCCACACTGCTTGGGAGCTTATATATGTTTGAGTAAAGGCTGAAGTGCATCTAAAATAATAAATATTTGATTAAAAGAAAGTGATAGCATTTTATACCTAAAGTTTGTAATTTCAGCAATAGTAAAACAACATCGGCAACTGTTTGGTATATATGAGCACCAACAGAATAACAAGCACAGCATTATGTTATGTTGGATGCTTATTTTTTTAATTACCACATTACTATATTCTCTAATTGTGGTGTTGAGCATACTCATTACCTCCCGATATTAACAATCAAAATTTACTTTGAAAATTATTTACATTAGCATAACTGTAGTTGCCAATATGCCAGCCAAGTATGGCAACTAACAAAATACTCCCCTTTGAGAGAGGTCTATGTTCAACACTTGATAGGCTGTAATGTACAAAAGACTGTGAATTATAAAGGCAGAATGTTACAATATAATCATTTAAAAAATATACCTTATTTATTATTATATAAAAAATTATTAAAAATACCCTCAAATTTAGAGTTGTTAAAATGTATTCTCTAAGATATTTGCACTGTCAGGTTACTTAGTACCCATCCATGTATGATTTCATGTGGTGTTGTTTACAACTAGACACTTGTTTATTTAAAGTTTTTGTGTCATTGAAGACTTAGGAGTATTAGTGTCATGATGTCTGGACAAAGGTAAGCTTTTATCATTTATATATCAGGATGTTGTTGCTAATACATTTTGATATTTAATTTTAGATATATTATCTACAATATCAGGTTATCTATTTGTTTTGGTGCAACAAAAACTCATTCCTTTTTCACGTTTCAAATTGATGGCCTTTTAAAAGTCCCGTCGCAATATGGGGGTCTATAATATTATTGTTTTCTTTTTAGCACGCGACCTTTGAGAGCACTCAATCTCAACAATATAGTTGATGAATTAGAGCGATGTGAGGATGATGATTTGTTTCCAACTTAAATTACAATTTTTCCACTGAGAACTCTAATGCCGACGTCACAGATGAGGATTCTGGAGATGAAGAATTTGTTGCATTGCAAAATCTACCAGGCAAAATATTTGTTTTCGGGTTGATATAACTACGTATCAATGATTCTATCTTGTTTTATTTATATGGTTGCAATATTTATATCTGTTTTTTATAGGCTCTCAACTACGAGCTCCAGCCGATGTCACTTTTCATATGAGTTCCGACGAAGAAGATGATGTACCTTTGTCAAGTTTGTCAAAAAGAAGACGCACGATGGATTTGACTTTAGAAGATAGTGACGCCGTACCTTCTTGTACTTCAGATATGTCAACTAATTCTACATTTGTTCAGCCTACAGTTTCCCCGAAACCAAACCTATAGATGGAAGAATCGTCATATTCCAAACCGTTTCAATCAATGGAATGACGAACAAGGTCCAAAAAACTTACAATCACCCTTATATTATTTCGACTGCTTGTTCAACAACAATGTTATTGAATTACTAGTGCGATATACCAATTTGTATGCAGGACAGAGGAATAAAGTGGGCAAAGTAACTGTTTCTGAAATGAAGTGTTTCTTGGGCATCCTTATGTACAGCGGGTATGTAGTAGTACCTCGTAGGTTTATGTATTGGGAGACATCGACAGATGCCGACTTTAGGATTGTGCACAACGCTATGTCAAGAGATCGTTTTACTTTTATTATGTCAAATCTCCACTGCTGTGATAATACAGTTCTTGGTGATTCTCCTGACAAATTCGCTAAGTTGAGACCTCTGTTTGACGAGTTAAATAAAATCTTTACTGAAATGGCTCCGCTAGAAGAGAACTGCAGCATAGATGAGGCTATGGTTCCATACTATGAACGTCACAGTTGCAAACAGTTTATATGTGGCAAACCAATTCGTTGGGGGTATAAACTGTGGGTTGGTGCTACAAGATTAGGCTACGTGATTTGGTTTGATCCTTACCAGGGAAAATCTTCAACCATTGTAGAAGGTTACAAATAGTTTGGTCTAGGTGGGAGTGTGATTTAGGAGTTTGCTGATGTTTTACAAGGTCCTGATCCAACATTGCCATTTCATTTATTCTTCGAAAATTATTTTTCCTCTATTCCTCTACTGCATGAACTTAGTAATAGAGGTCTGAGAGCCACTGGAACTATTCGTGAAAAAAGAACGTCCAAGTGTCCTCTCGAGTCTAAAAAAGATTTCAAAAATACTGATAGAGGTTCATTTGTATTCAAATCCAGTTTGCCTACCAATATTTTGGTTTGCAAGTGGAATGACAATAGTGTCGTTACTGTTGCCTCGAATACTAAAACTGTGGAGCCCCTGCAAAAAGTCAAGAGATTTTAGCAAGAACTAAAAAGATTTGTACATATTGACCAACCGTCGATTATAAGAAAATACAATGAAAATATGGGAGGGGTCGATAGATCTGATCAAAACATAGGGTTGTATGGGACTTCTATTCGTGGCAAGAAATGGTATTTTTCACTGTTTTGTCACACCTTAGATATGGCTGTGCATAATGCATGGCAACTTTACAAGCGAGACGGTGGAGAACATGATTATCTCACTTTTCGTAAACTACTGGCGAAAGTTTGCTCGAAAGCTACAAAAAAAGCGATAAGAGAGTACCATGTCCCACAGGTAGATCTCATCTTGAATCATCTCGATATGATGGGGTTGATCACTTGGTCCAGTACAGCGCTCCCCAACTAAGATGCAAAGTTTGCAAAGTTAAAAGTTTTTTTATTTGCCAAAAGTGTAAGATTCATTTACATCCTAAGAACTGTTTCCTTGAATATCACACTAAAACTCAGTAAAGTTAGTGAACTTTACTGACTTTTAGTGTGATATACTTAGTGAAGTGCTGTTGTTTTATTGTGAGACATCATATCACATAACTTGCTATACCTATGTCTATTTTCTTTTATATAGTTAAAATTTACCGTAATAATAAAAAACTAATATAATAACAGTTTGTTTTATTATTAGACCGCCACATACATGCAAACAATCCCCATATTACGACGGGACTTTTAAAAGCCCACCCCTTTCCGGCTTTTCTGAAAACATGTAATTTTTTTTACTATTTTTCCTGGTTATTATGAGTCATTTTAACTATCATATCCGAATATCACCAAGATCGAAAACAAAAAATAGTTACAGTAACATCTGGGTTAAGTGCATTTTAGGTGCAAATTTAGTTTACTGATTTATGAACAATATGTTAAATAAGAAACATATTAAATATAGATTTTTATGGAAATTTATTCATCATCACGACTGCCAAATTGATAAAGCAAAACTAGTACATAAACATGTTAAAAAATGTTACTTACAGGTCAAATGAAAGATGGAAGCTCATGCCACAAATATCGGATAGCAGATATATGAACCACACAACAGCCTTCCATGTCACATCACCCCAGTGCTCTAACCAGTTTTGGGCCAGTCCCAAGTATCCCGGCTTATGTCTTCTCATTTTAGTCTGATTCATTTTCTTCTTTTCCTGGGTAGGTTTGGACGCTTTGTGATAGGTCTTTCCTTCTTTCCTCTTCTTTGTTCTAGATACTTCAGCTTGACCATCTTGAAGGATAAATTGAGTTTGAGGATCTTCCTCATCAGGTTTAAAATCATTTTCCATGCTTCCAATCTTTTCCTTATTCTTTAATTTGTTTTCTACCTTCTTTTCTTTTTTATGTGCTTTTTGAGAGTTGTTTTCTATAATCACAAACTGACTGTCATCTTCTTTGAATTCTGCACCTCCATCATTGGTTATATCATCCAGTGATGACCATTTGCGAGACATATTGCTGTGTTTATTTTTGGATTTCTTGTTTTGCTTTTTATTTCTCTCAGTATCATCTGTGTTAATGTCGCCTGACTCGCTGCCTGAGGATACAGTGATTGCCTGCTTTATATCACTTTTATGCTTATCTTCATTATACTTTGTATTCTGTGGCTTATCAGTTTTTGAGTGGAGCTTGTTGCTTTTTGTTTCAGCTTTCTGCGGATTAATTTTACGAGTATTTTCTACTTGCAAGTTAGGTTTCGCATTCTTCGCTAACACATCTGAGTATGAAGGACGCATTGGCTTTACTTCAGCCACAATACGCTTTTTGTTGCTAGTGTCAGCTAAAGGACAGTTTTCATTTCTCTTTGGTGAACTTTCTGTTTTAATAGTTTGCGCAACAGTTGGTTCCATTTTAATACCATTTGGTAAGATATTCATTGCTGGGGCATCAGGATGATTCAGAGGGTAGTTCTGACCAAATGGCGAATAAGTGCCTGTAGAGTTTGGTTCCCAGTTACCCAAAACTTCCTTTAAAAAATTAGACGTTGGTAAATTGGATTGTGTGCTTATACTTTCTTGCGAAAATATATTATTTGGAATATTTGATGTTGGTGGAATATGAACATTGTTATTATTGGTAGTAAAGTCTTGATTCATATTAAATAAATTAGACTGCTGCAAAGACATATCGCACAGTCCCTGGTTATTATTGAAAAGTTCGTAATGACCAGATTTAGGGAAGATTAGTTGTTGATTATTTTCATCATAAAAAACTCTTACTAATTGTCCATTGTCTAATTTGAGCATCGCATTACCATAGTTCCGGCTGTTGCATCGAGATACATTACTCAGGTTGTACGAGTTGTCTTCTTCTTCTTTGTTTGTAATACAGTCGCTAGACGGAACATCAAAAGTGTGGTGATTTAAAAATACATCTTTATTGTAATTAGCATTTGCATGATTGTAAATATTACTTTCAGAAATTGCACTGGGATTATTCGGAAGTGGTGTTGACTTTCTTTCGTTTAAAGAACCAGGTGTATGGTTGTCACCTGTTTCCGTGCAGAAATTCCAACTATTGAGCGGTATGTCGCCAAACCTTAAATCATCCGTCGTCGACCTTGCCATATTTTGTTCTTAATGAAAACAGGTAATTAATATAATTACTCTGCAACTGTTTCAATATAAGACTCCAGAATTTAGCATTTTACAGTTTCATCAAATAAATTCAAAGTGATCTATGTAATGTGGAATATATTTTTATCTTGTCGCTTTTTTTGACACTTTCTTTGACAGATACATTTTTTATTAACAGGCTTTACGGTTCTGGGTTCTAGCCCTTCTAGCCTATCATTTCTTTCGGAATCTTAATTTTTATATTCTTTTCTTCACAGTATGCTGATGCGTGACATTGCGAAGCCCTTGGGAGATTTTGACGACAGCTCAACCCATCAGACAGTTGATGACGACAGCCACTCAAGTTCATAAGACCCCCAAGCGATCAAAATAACTTGAGGTTTATATCGACATCAAAACACTTGTTTCGTCGTTTTCTTTAATATTTCATACGCGCGGACACTTAATTCACAAAATCGCATCACTTTTACGAATCAAACTCCACTTCAAACTATTATTCAAGCGACAAAACGGGAGCGACAATCCGTCTACGGCCAAGTTCCCGCCAAAACGATTCATAGATAAATAAATATGTAGCAAGACCAGAGAGGTACATAGACGTAATATAAAATTTATATGGGTTTACGGGGATGTAGCTGTAGGCATAGGGCATTTTTGATTGATACCTCGAACATCTGGTGGTTTTTCTATTTCACATATTTTATAAATTCTGTAGATAACAAACGAAAACTACAATGTTTTTTACGAATACGTTCATGGAATTATTTCTAAGGCATAGTAAATAATCACATGTTAGTTCTCAAAATCCTTTTTTGTTGTTTGGCGCTTACTTAGTTTTCTTCCGAGTGTGTGCTCGGTATAGCTTTCTCATAATTTGCATATTTTGAAGTCATTGCATCACTTTCATTTTGTCACTCACACAGTCTTCCGTGAGCTTCACCGACAAAGGAATAAGCCACACCCCCAAAACAGTGGTAGAGCCACGCGGCAGCGATTGCTGTTGTACGCATGGGCCAGCTCAAACCGGGGTAGTAACGACCTCACAGAAGACCAGCATGATATAGAAGTTTTGCTTGCGTTTCGTCTGGTGAGTACAGGTGTCAGTAGGCCCAGTTCCCCTCACCCATAAACATGGTAGCGGAATTAAATGCAAGACTAACCCTGGAGAATCCCTCGCTGAGCATCCATGACCAAGCTAAGCAATAAGTCAAAAGCGTCCCCAGCCACGCTATCCGTGAATTTCTGCAACATCAGGGGACTTCTTTCAAACCTTAACGCCGTCCACTACCATATGGAAATGGCGAAGCTGGCCTAGCACTTTCTAACTGAGACACAGGTATCCTTTTCGGCTGATACTTCGTATCTCTCCTACCCGGGGTACAAATTAGAACACTCCTTTGTGGCCCGGGCTGAAGTTTGCGTGTACGTCAGAGCGAACATCTGTTTTCGACGCCTCGGTAGTCTTGACTGTCCTGTCCATCTTATGACTGCGTGTAGACAGCGATGACCATCCCCGAGTCTACGGTTGCTTCTATAGGTCCTATATAATGCGGTAATGCAGAAACAGACCGACTAATCGACCACGTCCAGATGGCTACAGACTCCGTGCTACAACCGATCCCATCCGCAGAGATCGTGATACTTGGTGATTTTAAAGCCCACCACCTTCGATCAACAATACCAACTAGGTATTTTGTAGATGTGAGCTCTTGTTTCGTTTAGTTAACTTGAAACACAGCCAATGTAAACACGTTTCACAATGCCACAATGTGTATTTAAAAGTTGCAAGAATAATGCCCAAAAAGTAATTTAACGGCCAGAGTGTCTTACTTTCGGTAATTACATGTATAATATGTTATATTTTAAGCTCTAAACTAACAAATAATATCATATTTTAAACAAAATTACCGATCGAAACCGCCCCTACAAATGTTTTGCCAATGGTGATGAATACACATATTTATATATACTATACATAGATACATACATAGTACGAACATATATACATACAAAAACTAAAATAGATATATATTAATTATATATTTTTATTAATTATAGATTAATGGCTAGTGTGGAAAGTATGTATACCAACAATCATAAATGCCCAAAACGTAAAAATAATTTTAATTAAACTTTTGATCATATTATAAATTATTTTGGTGTTCAACGCGACTCAAAACTTCCTGGACCAAATTCGAAGAAGAAACAGAAACATAATAAAATGACGTAGCTCGCAAGGCAATAACGGGGAAAAGAACTTTATTTGTTATACGTTAAGGTTGATTTCATACCAAAGTTTATTTAATTTATGTCTTTTCATTTCCAAGTGATAGGAGTATTGTATAGCTTTGTTCTTTTTTTGTGACTAATGATCGTAAGATTTGTGACTTTATTACTAGATGCGATTGTTGTAATTAGGTTGAGCTTAAAACTATTTTAATTTTTTGTCTCATTTCTTTAGTAAACAAATGTAGCTGTTTAAGTTTATATTCACGCGGAAAGTATTTGGCTATGATTTTGTACGTGACCAGTTATCTAGTTGGTATTGTTGATCGAAGCCCACCACGCTGAACGGCTTGGTTCTCGTTTAACCAATCATGCGGGTAGACCAGTTTACGACCTTGCTTTGGCATATGGTCGGACACAACTGGTTACCTCACCTACGTAGATCCCAGATGTGGAAAACCATGTACTTTCCCTGTTGGATCTTCTGCTGATCTCTCATCCGGACGGATATCAGGTCTCCGTCGATGCCGGTCTTGGCTCCTCGGTCCATTGTCTGATCTGAAGTACGGTGCCTCTCGCTCACGCTCTTACCGCGGTTGCGTACTGCAGATTGCGGCCGTGTTTGGCATTATAGGTCAGCAGATTGGAACGGGATGCATTTTTTTGCATCCTACACTTGGAGGCGTGTTTGCTTCACGCCGGATGATCCCAGCGTTGATGCTGATTCTATCGTTGATGTGGTGCTACAGGGAATGGAACTTTTTATTCTATCATATGTGGTACCTATCGGAGGCAGAACCCAGCCTTGATTTGGTCCCTCCTGCAAAATTACGCTACTTCATAAGCAAGAGTGCTATCAGACCGGGGCTCGCACATCGACGTATCGGGATGCAAATATCAGCGCTCTTAAAAAGAAGTACTATTCTTCCTCCAGGTCCTTCAAAAGTGTCATTGTCAAGGCAAAGTCAGAGCACATAGGCAGAATTGGCGAGAAACTAGTTCGTCTTCCTTCGGGAACACGTACATTCTGGTCTCCCGCCAAGGCTGTCCAAGGGAACTTCTGTAAGCCATCGATCCCATCTCTGCACAGGGAGGACGACTCACGTGCCCATGCCGCAAAGGACAAAGCCAATCTGCTGAGCTCTCTCTTTGCGTCCGAAATGATGGGGGAATACACCGCCGACTCTCCCGCGGAGTGAATGTTTCATGCAGGAAATCCTACATGGAGCCGAGTTTACCCAATGCTCAGTGCGCAGAGCACTCCTCTCCCTGGACGTCAACAAGTCGAGTGGGCCGAATGACGTCCCTCCTATTGTGCTGAAGACGTGTGCTCTGGAGTTGGCACTGGTTTTAACGCGTCTTTTCCGGTACTCTTATTCCATCGGTATAGTTCCCAAAATCATGGAAGACAACCCTCGTGCACCCGATCCTTAAAAAAGGTAACCGCTCTGATCCGTTCAACTATAGGCCAATCGCCATCACCTCCTTGTTCTCTAAAACAATGGAACCCATTATTAACAGCCAGCTCATGCGGTACCTTGAGGATCGCCAGCTGATTAGCGACCGCTAGTACGGTTTCCGTCGCGGCCGCTCGGCTGGTGATCTTCCTGGGTTACGTTGGCCGTTAATTATGACACAGCGAAGGCCTTCGATCGAGGAAAACGTCGCAGAGTACCGGGGCAAACTTGTGTCTGAAGTTTTCGAGTACCCAGTCCGAGACTTTGTTGAACAAAGTCTCGGACTGGGGCGACTAAATCTAGTCCATTTTAATCCCCAGAAGACACAAGTTTGCCGTACTACCACCGTGCGAGTTAAAAGAAGTTTTCTTCCTCGTACAACTTCCTTGTGGAATCGACTACCACCAGAAATATTTCCGGACCGATACGACTTAGGGACCTTCAAGAAAAGAGCCTACTACTTCGTCTCTACTACGTCGAAGGAACAACTTGTCATTGAAATTAACGATAAAAATTCACATAAACTACAAAAAAATAAATCAGTCCGGCTATGTTAAGTTTGTTGCCGTGTAGTGGCGGTTAAGAATATCCACTACCCCATATCTTCCCGTGGGTGTCGTAAAAGGCGACAGAGGGACACAGAAAGGAGATGGGCAGCAGCATCTTCCTGATAATAGCAACTGTACGACAAAAAAAAAACTGCGGTTGCCAACCCGCTCGCCAAGCGCGGCAACTATGGCAATATACCCCCCATGAACAATTACACAAATAGACGGCCCCCAGTCCCCGGCGGCCCCGCTATTCCTGGCTACGGTGGCGACCATGGTAACGGCGGGGCAGGGGGTGCTAAGAATCTCCGGTGGAGGTTCGGTTGCCACCTACGACGACTCGACCTGGCAACATTTAACGCACGCACACTGAGGACTGACGAGAAGATCCTGGAGCTGGAAGAAGAGATAGACAAGTTGCGCTGGAGTATTATAGGATTATCCGAGGTCCGAAGAGAGGGGGAGGACACGGTGATTCTCGAATCCGGCAACTTGTTCTATCACCGGGAGGGCGACCATCTGTCCCAAGGAGGTGTCGGATTTATCGTCCACAAGTCTCTCGTCAACAACGTTGTAAAGATTGGGAGTGTGTCGACGAGGGTCGCGTACCTGATACTCAGAATCACCAAACGGTATTCGCTGAAGGTCATACAGGTTTACGCACCAACCTCGGCACATTCCGATGAGGAGGTGGAGGAAATGTATGAGGATATTTCCAAAGCCATGCATTCCTCCAAAACCCACTACACGGTGTTGATGG